GGGCAGGGGGCATGGTGCTGTGCGTCTCATTCCCCATCACAGCATGACCCAAGAGAGCCATGGGTACTTGTGGTATTTTTGTCCTGTTCCAATGTGGGTCTTACTGAGTCCAGGGAGTAGGCAACATTGAAACTCAAAATATATAGCATGTCTTCCAAATAGCACTAGTTTTATTCTCTGAACTCTTTACTGGTATTTTTAAAGCATCTTTTCTGGGCTTTTAGCCTCTCTCAGGTTTAGTTGTACCAAAGCACTGTAATCATACAGAAATTACTGTCCCTGGTTATCTTTTTGTTTGTTTGTTTGTTTGTATGGCTTGTTTTTGTTTTCATTGCAAGTCTAGAAAAGAGGTTTGTATTACATATGTACATACACACATATGTACATATATATATAGAGAGAAAGAGAGAAATAAAAATGACTTATTACAGAAAACTTAGAAAGCACCAAAAAAGCATAAAAAGAAATTAATCTCACATAAAATCAAATATTTAACCACCAATAACATTCGATCTGTAACTTTCCAAAGTTTTAATACCCACATATATATTTTTAATTACCAAAATCATAATCTGTATGAAACACTTATTTTTTTCATTTGGCAATATATCATGAACATTTTCTCATGCTAGTATTCTTCCACGAACTGATTTTTGGGAGCAGCCGGGTAACCATCATCTAAATGTGCTAAAATTTACCTAAATGTATTGAATTTACCTAAGTTTAGCTAAATGTGCTAAAATTAATCTATACTTTCTCATTTTGTTTGTTTCTGTTTTTTTCTAATGATTCTCATATGACTTCTGTTGTTGGTATTTAAAAATCCAAAAAAACCAAAAAACAAAACAAAACGGGGTGGGGTATGAATTAATTCCTTGACATTAATATCTATGGTGAAGTGTAACCTTGGGATCATTTTCACTCAAATTGTTATAGAATTTTAGAACCTTAACACAAGAGAACTGAGCAGTCACCTGGGGTGGCCTCTGATGGGCCAGATCTCCTAACAGGTGAGCTGTCTCTGCTTAAATCCCTCCATAAAAAGGCACTAATCAGCTCCTCTTTATATGTTCTGACTTTATATGTTCCTATGGACATAAGGAATCATACTCTGACAAATAGGTTTTGAAAGTTGCTTCCGAAAACTCTAGAAGCCTGAACTTCAAGATCAATATGATTTGAGAATCTGGGAAGGAAGTTAGAGGCAGGGTGGCGGCAAGATAGCACGGAATGCTGGCTTAGCTAATAGGAGCCAAATAATTATTACGGACAGGCAGAGAGTGTTCTCTGATTTGCGAGCTACAGCTATTCTAATTGATTTCTGCATATTTGTGGATAGGGATCTGCCCTCTTCCATTTATTTTTCTCTTGACAAGTAAGATGTGAAATGTTGTTCCATGCCTTTCTAATTTAAACGTTGCACATGTTGAGAACCGATCTTGCCAGCCATTTTTAAGCCTGGCCAAAAACATAACACATTGTTGTTATTAGCCTTCATCATCTGGTTAGAGCCAACATTTTGTTTGGAACTATACTGGAGTATAAATCTCCTTTATAGGCATAACCTATTTCTGCCATAAAGTAGATTCGATGAGAAGATAACTAAGTGTCCTTGGTGAGTTGCTCTGGTTAGCCTCATGAGGCTGATTAGAGCAAGGATGCCCACTTTGAGAGACTTGTTAGGAAGTGAGATTCATGCTCTTGAGGATCTAATGATTCAGCTGAGGGGAAAAGCACATAGATAACAAATTTAAGGCAATGTGTGAAAAGTACACATACACAAAGATCAGATGCAGCTTAGAGGAAAAACAGAGCATTACCTCATGACCTGATTTTGGGCTATGGACGATGATGTCTTTGAAGCCATATGTACCACATTCAGCCTGCAAGCTGAGTAAACCATCTGTCTCACACACATGTGTACTATTTTCCAAGTATATTTAGATGCCCTGGTGGCCAACAATGCTTTTAAATGAATTCTTGCTTTATTACATTTATTGTAGCTTTTTGCCATATTGTGTATTTTCAATCGATAGATACTCTACTTATAATTCCTATCATGGGTGTCTATAAAGTTTTTTATGTTAAAAGTTGTTTTAGTTACTTGAAGATTGGAAACTCTCACTGTCTACAACAGCGCTGTGCAGTAGAACCTTCTATGTTAACAGAAATGTCTCTGCATTGTCCAATATGGTAGTCTTTAACTATATGCTGCCCTTGAGGACTTGGAATTATGGCTAGTGGGACTGAAGAAATGAATTTTTAATTTTATTTGATTTTAATCAATTTAAATTTAAATAGTCACATGTGGGAGATGCTACCATATTGGGTAATGCAGATCTATTATATCCTTTTATAGGTAATTTTCTACTCCTCTACACACACACAGGTTTTCTTTACCCCGCCCTGACCAAATGTTATGGCCAGAATTCATGATCCCCAAAGACCACCAGGGAGCTGAGTCCGACGCAAAAGCAAAGAGCCTGTATTCGAGCTAGCTCGAGCTCAATCCCCTACTTGCACCGACGCAGCGGTGAGATACCTGACTTTGTTTCAATGTCTACCCACAAATGTGGGTGGCTACCAGGCCTACTTCTTCTCAGGGGCCCCTATTCCTGACAGTTCCTTAGGTCAAGAGAAGAGTTCTCTTGTAGATGCTTAATGCAATCACTTTAAAAGGCTTTCCTAATCATAGAAATAAAAAGAATGGTAGTTTACACTTTTCTTTCAGCCACCATCTGATTCTCAGGGACTTGAAGAAGTTTCTGTATAACTGGGCCACATGCACTAATGGTTTTCATATTTAGTTTGTTTCAGAGTTCATACAACATGTTCTTTCTTTAAAAATTGACTGTTTGGTAGGCAGCGTGGCTATAAATAATTATTAGAAACTCAGAAATAAAATCTTATCCTAGGGCTCATCTTAGGTAAGAAAATTTCCCTTTCCTTTGTTCTTTTTTTTTTTAATGTTTATTTTTGAGAGAGAGCGAGCAGGGGAGGGGCAGATTGAGAGGAGACACAGAATCTGAAGCAGGCTCCAGGCTCAGAGCTGTCAGCACACAGCCCAATGCGGGTCTTGAACCCACAAACCATGAGATCATGACCTGAGCTGAAGTCGGACGCTTAACCAACTGAGCCACCCAGGCGCCCCACCCTTTCCTTTGTTCCAATGATTATGAAGAGTAACCAAATGATTTTTCTTCTCTTACTCTGAAACAATTAATTAATACAATTAATTAATAGCACTTTACCCGTTCTATATCTTTCTCATGACTCATTGCCTTGGATTCTTTTAAGAACATCATGAGCAGTGACAACATACAGTGTAATAGCTTCGTTTGAGGTAACAAGATCATGAGAGGATAGCCAAGTATCTCTGAACATAAAATTCACCCTGATATTTATATTATGGTTGCTATTCATTATAAATGTAGTACTGGTTGGATTACTAGGTAACTCAAAATTGTAATTTTCCCCAAAGGACTTTTGTTCTGCACTGTTTGAAAACAAGATGGAGGAAGACAGTGACTTGTAGAATTTAAAAAGCCATATGACCAAAAAGTTCTTTTGGAACTCATACTTGAGAAGTTCCCATTAAAGCAATAAACACCTTTCATGGACCAGTCTGGGAAGAGGTCTTCCTATGGGGGTCTTTCTGTCGAAGGAGGGCCTTTTATGCACGCCCCACCAAGTGAGATGGCTGTACTGCTCTTCTCTGCTACACTCTGGGCAGGCAGTCTCACTTTTTTTGCCCTTCCTGATGTGAGGCCTGAGCTTAGACATCTCTTCGCGGAACAGAACCAGAGTGAGGAAAGTTTCACTTGCTGAACCAGGAGGGCAGAATGTGTCCTCCTGGCTCCTGCCAGGCAGTGCATCCCAATACTGGGTGCACCAACAGGAGAGGAAGCTTAGAGGCAACTACACTCAGAGTGCCCAAAGCACATAGATCCCCAGTGAGATGATAACAGAGCACTGATAGGTGTATCATAACCTCCATCTTGTATACCGGGATTCTTCCATTCTTCACCCTCTTTCGTAAATTCCACTGACAGATAAATACATAGGCAGTTGTTTCTGACATTAAAGTTGTTGAACATCTCTTCTCCTAGCACTTCCTTTTACTGTGTTTGTCCCATTTTCATTAAACACATCCCTCCATCATCTGCTGATGTCCATTCTAAAGGAGATGCATGGATTGTTGTGATGGTGGTGGTGTGTGTGTATGTGTGTGTGAGGAGTGAAGCCCAGGGAAGAGCCAGCCAGCAAAAAGAAGTTAACATTCGCAAGTATAAAACACCACCCTAAATTTGCTTCCCTTTCTATTCTGTTGTAAACACCAAAGAATTCATTCTGGCCCTGTGCTCCCATCTCCTTTGTGGAAGAGAGGAATGAGGAGGCATAAGCTGAGGGCCCTTCAGACTTTGGGAAAGATCTAAAAGAACAGTATAATTTGGGGTCTGTGCCGTTCCCCTCCCTGGGGTCTTCCTGGGCTCAGGCTGCCACACCTCCTCCCTCTGCATGTGAACAACGATGTGTGGCTCTTTTCACAGGACTAGGTCCTTCTCCTTGGTAAGTCTGTACAGAAAAGTTAATGGGCAGTGCTAGTCAGTCTCTCTAGTACAGTCAGTTCAGTCATATGACTTAACCTTCATGTGTCCATTTTAGGTATTTTCATTCTGGTTACAAAATTATATCAACTTATTGTGTCTTCTAAATTTTCCTTTTTGCCGTTTGAGTCTCCATATATTTCGTTGATTAGAGTATCTTACCCTCAAAGCCTCTGATCTTCACTGTAGGAAACTAGTACAAGGCTAACTATCTGTTAGCAAACTTTGGGTTGCTGGATGATTTCATAATTGCCTTCAAATGTACTAACAAGGATGCAGGTTTGATGAAATGCTTATGAGTGGTAGCTTTAGAGAAATCAACCTCTATTCTCAGTATTGATTTCCACGCTACTAATGTATTAATGCATCTGTCTCCTGCCTTTTTTATTTCAGTACCTACTAGAAATGAAAAGCTTAATTCTACCCCCAGAACATATCCTGAAGCGAGGGGACAGTGAAGCAATAGCATATGCGTTCTTTCATCTGGCGCACTGGAAGAGGGTGGAAGGGGCTTTGAATCTTTTGCATTGTACGTGGGAAGGCAGTAAGTAATTTTCTTTCTTTGAAACATTTTTTTTAAGAGCATGAAAAGATGCTAAAACTGTTTTTACCCTGAATGTTCATGATGAATAATGACGATTTGCATATCTATAGCTCTTCTTCTCTGCAATGTTCTATCACTGAGAGATGATGGTTAATGAGGCTCTTCAGTTCCCCAGCAGTGGTAGGTGTTACTGAGGCGATGCCATCCTTAAACCTTAAAAAAGCAAGTTTTACAATAGATGGGATGAATCTGGACTGTTCTGGCAGAGGAGCATTCTATAACTGGAAAACCCTCTTTGGAGACCCGGACACCCCCTCACCATCAGGGGAATCTTTGGCTTGGGGTTAGGCCTCGGGCTGGGCTCTGACTACCACTTCTGGATGGCTTTTCCAGAAGGATTGGCTAAAGAGCCACAGTTATCCTCCAGTGGAGCTGGGTCTGCAGTTATGTTTCAGAACAGGAGCAGTGACCACAGGACCCTCGTGTTTGGTGACAAGTGGAGCATTGGTGTGTTAATGGATAATGCCTATCGGCTAGATGTAGGGATAAATCGGTCTGAGTATGTGGCAGGCATAACCGTTCTATGAAGGAGAAGAGGCTGTAATTGTCGGTGAGACAACGCTCCCTGTCCTGGAGGAGCGTCTCATCTAGTTGGGAGGAGTCACCAGCACACAGCAGCTGCCCAGTGATCTTTTCAGAAGGGAGAGGTCTGTGGGGTGGAGGAGTCATGGGTAACCTTATAGGTCATATGGAATTTGAACCAAGCCTTGAAGAACTAGGACAGTGTCATAAGCAAGGACACTGTGCTAAGTGGCAGGGCTGTTTGGAAGAATGCAAATTGAGAGGAAAGGCCCAAGACTACAGATTATTGGACAATATGTGCATTGACACACTGTTATTAGTTTAAGCAAAACAAATGCAACATGTAGCATGGGATGGTTTTTTTTTTTTTTTTTTTTTTTTTGCCCTCTCATAGGGAAACAAAACAAGTATTAATCTTCTGATAATTTTTTCTTAGTTCACTCCTACTCTGATCAGCCTCACAAAGGAATGTCTTTTTAATCCCTTTCACTCTGTTTATCTTTGCTGCTTCCATTTTTATTTTGATAATCTTCTGCTCTTCCCTTTTCCTGCCCCACCCGAATCCAACAGGAATCCAAATTGATGCAGGAAGGGGGTGGGGTTGGGGGGTGGGCAGCCACAGGGAATGGGGTAAAAGTAAGTTGACAGAGATGGGACTCATGTTGACTGAAAGTTTTTTGCTTAGTTTTGAAAATCTTCTTTAGAGAATTGATAGTGAGTTTACTTAAATAATTTGCTATTTATAACTTGAGTGATGTTGACTTGGTTGATGCTTCCACCACCCCCCCCCCCCCCATAAGTGTAATAACACACTTCAGGTGTCCCGGTCCTATGTTAAGAAAGCTCACTCCACTGAGGGCATGTGTAGGCGTGTGTACAGTCCCCACTGGGTTTGGTTTATTACTGCATTTAATGTGTTCTGCCCAAAAAGGACAAAAGGAATTTTTGTTTAAACACAAGAAAGAGATAGAAAAAGCCTAGCAAGATTGAACATTATTGGCCTCAACTAGGGTTAGTTGTGGAAAAATTAAGTGGATTGATTGGCTAACCAAATAAAGATATAGTCATAGATTAGCATTTGGGAAACATAGCAAAATTGATAAGAAAGTTACAGTTGTATCGAAAGGATCAAAACAGGGAGGCAAGAAATGATAGAGACATGGTGTTAGGAATGGCATAACCATAAAAAAAATCCCCTCAGGAATAACTGGAAATTTTGTTTGGAAATGAGTTACCCATATAATCAGATAACAATGGGGAGATTCTCTGAATCAACTGGGAAGGACAATGAGATCTGAAAAAATGTGCAGTAACCTGGTGAGCTCCAAAATCTAGCAGAGTGGGAATGTTAGGGGAATGTAATTACCTCAGATTTTATTGGAATGAAGAGAGGAGATGAATATTTAGACATAAACCAGGATAGCAAGGCAGTCAGGGACCTCAAAGAAAGAGAAATTCTGCATTTGATCCTTACGGATAAATAGAAACCACTCCAAGGAAGTTACACTACTTACTATTAAGTTTTTGAAAAGAGAGTCCTACCATGCAGTTCTAGATGGGAACTGTGTGAGTGCTTCCTAGGCACAGGTGTCTTGGAGAATACCAAGCACCTTCAAGAGTGGGCGTACAGCTGGGTAATTTACCAAGAGTTTCATGTCCATCATTTCGTGTACTCTTCCTGACAACGTTCTGAGTTAGACCGGAGAGAGAGAGAGGTGGCCACCTCAGTTGTGTAAGAGAGGAACACGGCCATCGAGAGGAGTGGCTTGTTGTAAGTCTTGCAGCCCCTGTTGGTGGAGCTAGGATGTAAACCCAAGTCTACTTTCTCTTCAGGCTTCTTTTCTATAATAACCAGCTATGTAGCTTTTGCCTGAATAGGTTAAGCATAAGAGGATCAGTTATCTCTGAGACATTTGCTTGGAAGCCTTCAATTTACACCACAACTTATAGGCTCGGGAGTACTTACTCCTCTTCTAGTGTTTAGAAAGTTCATCATTCTATATAAAATTGTATTTTTGCTGTGTAATGTTGACTTAAATATTTTAAATGTAGAATGAGCCCAATTTTATAAAAAATAAATTCTACATATAAACAAAGGAAAGAGACTGGAAATAAATGCATCTTTAAGTGGACTTTAAGAGATTTTTTCCTTCATATTTGTATTTTTCCAGTCTTCTCAACAAGCATATGTATTTTTCTACAAGCACATATATGTATGTTTCACTGCAAAGTTCTAGTTTTTTTTGTTTGTTTGTTTTTTTGTTTTTTTTTTTAATGAACAAAGCTCTAAATCTCTCATGGAATTTAGAAGAAAGAATTACCACTTTAACTTCAGACAGTCATGTGCAGTCTTTTGACAGTGCTTCCTGACCTGTGTCCATTCTGAGTTAAATTAAATGGAGGCATCAGAGTTTGGATTTTAAATCAGAGGACTTGGATTACAATTCCGACGTGGCTACCTGTAGTGGTATTTACTTAACACACCCAGTTTCTCAAAACTGTGAATCACAGATGATATCGATTGCCCTCTCCCCACCCCAGGGTGTTGGGCTTCAAGGCAGTTGCTCTGGGGCAACTACAGTAGGTGAACCGCTCCATCTCCCTCAGAGGTCCCTCGGACGGCCTGTGCCAGAGTGCAGGAGGCTGCACTTCCTCCAGTGCACCACGTGGTGGCGCCTTTTGACATCACCAGCCTAGTTTAGGTTTTGTCCTTTACATCTTTTCTAGTTCATTCTGAAATTTAAGGCCATTCCCCAACTCCCTTTCAACTTCCCCTTTTCATTAGAAAGGGAATTCAGGGAGGAAGGTAACAGTACCTAATTTCACCAGTTCCCATGTTAAGAATGAGTATTCTTTTAGTCAGTTGATCTTTTGGAGATTAAAAAACATTCTTCTGTCAAAAGTGTTGGTTTAGGAGTAGGGATGGAGATTATATTTTGCTTTGCGCTTTAATGAGTTTATTATGAGCGTTAGTCATCTTGTGGAATTAAGTGAATTTCCCACCAATCAGGCTGAAATAACTCACATTTTTGATAAAACCCCAAAGTCCAGCTGATGCATGGCAGAGATTGTTTGGGTTTGAAACATATGGTGGTTAAAAAAAAACCTGAGTCCTCAACCACAAATACATCAGCATTTCAAAGGTTTCTAAAATGTTTGATTCATCACTATCCCAGCTCCTGAAATTGCACAATATGTTCCTCAAAGTCAAGATAATCAAGAAAGGGGAAAAGCTTTAATTTACAAGATTTAAAAATATGTTTCTTAGGTCATTACACAGCTGCCACCTTATCTGAATTACACTTATTTTAAACACTGTAGGTTCTGGTTATCCTCACACACACACACACACACACACACACACACACACATTTCTGCAAGTCTGAGTTGAATATACAAAATGTATATAAATGAGGGATCTCATTTGAACTGGGTCTTATTTACAACAGTATTGCGCCTTATGGGGCCCTATTTTAAATGGCACATCTATGTTTTACCTATATTAAATACTGATGTGGCCTTATCTCCTTCCTACCTCGATCTTTACAAGGCTCGTTTTAGCTGTATTTATTTTACAAAGCAGGGTAGTCTGCTGACCGCAACTATGAACTTTAAGATTTAACTTTCTTAGTTCTATATATCAGAAGACAAGTATGCCATAGGATAAATCACTTAGCCTTTCTTTGTTTCCGTTTTTTCCACTTGACCATGTAAGACTCTTTATTTTCTTTTTGGAGATTTTTTTCTCCCCAAAGAATTCACTAAATAATGTATAAGATTTAAAGGTGGTGTTTTTGAGGGGGACTAAGGCAGAATATTTCCTTTGAGAGGAGAAAATGGCCCTTTGTTGAAGCATAGGATGAAATTCTGATTCTAATTTATTCTCTTTGAACCTGATAGTAAATGCTGCTTGCTGTAAGATGTGGTCCTTGGGGCATTTCCTCTAACCAAACCTTTCCTCCAAAAGGCTGGCACCTTTTGGACTGCTAAAGAGAGATTTCCCCACCACTCAGCCCATAGAGCTAATGCTAAATTTTATAATTTGGGGAGAAAGCGATGCTCTGCTAAAGTTTCTGGTCATAGTTAACTTACTGTCATAGCCAGTCTCCAGATGTCATGCAATGCCTCGTCACCTACTGCCCAGTAAGACCAGCTTGTCCCTTTCATTTATTCTATCTTGGTGATGGGCCATAATTTCAATCCGCCTGAGATTTTAAGAGGAAAATTGTGTCTCTTCCTGATTGTGCATTAGCTCACTTATTCCTTTATTCATTGAACATTTATTGAGCGCCTCCTTTGTGCCAGGCGTTGTGTTGGAGAGACCAGGATACATAAGACTCTTAAATGCTTTGAGAGAAACATTAATATGTGTGTGTGTGAATACACATATGCGTCTGCTCCTATATAGTCACATATACATCTAGAAACACACACACACACATATAACATACAGTGTGCCCACAGGCAGTACTGTCATGGAAGTAGGAACAGAGTGTTCAGGTGTTGATGGTCACCAGCAAGTTAGTGAATCTCCTATAAAATTCCAGAATTTCTCTTCAGAATTGGACTGGTACATCATTTAATCAAGGGAGGGTGATTTTCCCAAGACCACATAACTAGTGAAAGAATGTGGATCAGAACCCAGGCTTTTTGACTTTAGAACTCTTTATTATTGTGCCCAAATGCCTCATAAAAGACAGCTAGCCTTTATAGCCAGTTACCTACTTTACATTCAAAGGTGACAATGTAAAATTTGTATTTTGATGATAGTTTTCTGCTCTGTCATTTGCACTTCTAGTTGTTTATAAACAAGTAGCATTTTTACTTATTAGCAAGAGTATGACCTGATAGAGAAAGTAGGAACTTTGGGTTCAGTAGAAAGAGAATGTAAAGAGAAACCTAACCTTTATTGGGCCATCGGGCCCCATGTTTAGACACTTAGTTTCTTGAAGCCTCTCAGAGTCTGTAGTATTCTCATGTTTACAGACAGAGAGACTGGACACAGACTAATGACCCACCCAGTCTCATACAGTTGTTAGCTTGGTCAAGTTTAGCTCATCCTTACCTGTCACCTCCATGACTCCTTTATTAGATATGCACAGCATGGGGACACCATCACAGGGAAACTTCCACGCTGATTTTCATTATTATTGGATCATCTGTTTCCCACCGCAGGCAGTGAGCTCCATCAATGCAGGGACAGTGTGTGGCTCACCTTTCTATCCCAGGCACATGAGGAAGCACTCACATTTTAATAAGGTGGAGCTAGGATTCAAACTCACTTCTCACTACTACAAGTAATCTGTCTATATAAAGTTCTTTGAGATCCTCTTTGAAAAAGGCCAACATAGACAAAATATCCCACGTTATCTTCTATCCTTATCCATATAGTGGGTAAGATGAGAGGTCACTGGAAATCAATGGGAAAATTGGGAATCAGTTTGTTCATGTATCTATCCTTCTGTCCCTTCTTTGGTTCTGTTAATTTTTTTCTCCAGGATTAGTATAGGGTCTCTGGTGAGCACAGCACTGAAAGGCATGGGGCTTAGAAAATGAGTCTGGTCAGGGAGAAAAGACAGCAGTGTAATGCCTCAGACTTTGCTGTGGGGGTCCTATGTGTTCATTAACTGGCTCCCCATTTCATTTTGTCTCTTCCTTAATGGCGCAACAGAAGTCAAGGTAGGAGAGGTGACGGCACATAGAGGAAAATGCAGACATGAAATGCTGTTCGTGTATTATGCATTAACCTGGAGTGGCCCAGCTTTTTTGTTTTGTTTTTAACCAAATACATGTACATTTTTAATGCCTCTGAAATGTGTGTTTTTCCAGACAAAGATTTTTAGGAGCTTTGTAGTCACTTAGGAAATAGATAAAATTAATAAAATAGATGCCTCTTTTTTTTTTTTTTTATTAATTCCTCTTTCCACCATCAGATCAGCATGTAACTACTTGCACTTGCAAAATTTCTGGACATTCAGCTAAAGCCACGAGGTTCTTGTCTTCTCAACGAGGGGATCCGGAGGTGGGAGGTGAGGCTGGTGGGGCTTCTGTAGTGCCTCTTGCTGCTCTCCCCAGACCTCCACTGCTTATCTCACACTCTCCTGGACCCTGCACAGCAGGGTGGCTGAGGGATAGAATTGCAAACAGAAATTGTATTTGCTTTTGTTTAGTGAAGCCAAAAAGCTTAATCTTATTTTCTGAACTCGATGTAAATGACAACTGACATGAGAACGAAATTTTTAGAGCGCCTCAAACATCTTTCAGTCGTGGAGGTTGAGAGGGAGGGAGCCATGGGAGGGGGTGAGGTGGGGAGAACAGTGCAGGACGAGTGTGTGTGTGTGTGTGTGTGTGTGTGTGTGTGTGTGTGTGTGTAAGTTGTATGTAACCACTCTCTCCACCCTCTCCAAAAAGACCAGAACTGATTAGAAGGAAAAGACTAACTTGATGCACAGAATCCTGTATGCATGCCAAACACTGCAGAAAAAAAGATCTGGCATCTGACTGAAAAGACACCAACCAACCATTTGATTTCTATGGTTGAACACTCTCAAGATCTTGCACTCCTATATTTCACTTAAAAAATTGCTCCCTGAAGTGCAGACTGACTTCAATTTTGAGTAAAATTTAGCATTCAAATTTATAGCCGCTTTGAAAAGTGAGGGTTTATTTACATCATGTGAACCTGAACAGATTCATAATTACAGCAGCCCTGTCGTGCATAGAGAATCTGGGGTAAAAAAAAAAAATTCCACGTAGGTTTTTCCACATTTTTGGGATGCTTTCATAGCAGCCTTCATTTATGGGAAACGGTATTAAAATCCTGCCATACTGCAGTTTAAATTTAAACACACTGCTTCCCAGAAGAGATTTTAGCATACCCTGTTAAGGCACTGGTTTTGTTTTGTACTTTTTTTCCTCGTCTTGCAAACCTATTGAGACATACTGGTTCCTCCGAGTGATGTCTGCGTGCTAACAACCTGTGCAGGGAGTGCCTCTTGTTAGTTGCAGTGAGCAGAAGCCATCTTTGTGTGAAAGAAAAGTCTGATTGAACTAGGGTGAGCCTTTCATTTTAAGAAGAGTTAAAGTCTGGGGTGTTTTTAATGTTTTAATCTCCGTTTAAGAGGTTTCTGTTACAAGAGGAAAATTGATAACATTTTTACCTCAGCAAACTGCCAGCACACTGGCTCTGCTCTAATCCCACGTTTCTAGTGATTTATATTCTCCATGGCAATGTGCTGTAACCTCAGAGTGATACCACTGTGGTGTAGATTGACTGCATTCCAAATGCTGGAATCACATACATAATGTTTTTACTTTTAAATAATATTCAGACACCAGAATAAATACCATATGTGCACTGATGCTGGTTACAATGGAACCTTGTCATTTCTTGTGAGGGAGAACATTCTTTGTTTCTGATTCCCATTTGAAATAAGTATGCAAAAGATAAATACGTACATTGATGGCATTTTGAGAAGGTGGAGGTAATTACACAGCTGAGGATGTAGCTACGATTCCTTGAAATGCAGCATTTAAGACTAAAAAGATTGTTGTGTTGCCCCTACCTACTCCTCTTTGATACACATGAAAGCAAGGATTGTTATGTGACCTTGCCAATGTAGGGTGTCATTTTTATACTTTACATGTACAGCATGCTGTAGTTAAAGGACATCTGTTGAAGAAAAATTACTCTGTGAGCACTAAGTTCATAGCAACAGTGAGACTAACATGCTGATGACATCGTAACAGGGAGAGTAACACACGTGATAATGGAAAGGGATGGATTGATTGGAAAGCCATAATTCAGTGTGAGACCTCATGTTATCTGAAGCCACAAGAACAAAATTTAGGTGGCCTGACATCATCAAAACACAGATAATCAATCTCTCCAGATCCATTTTTCCCCCCACATGGTATTGAAGATTGAAAAGTTTCATTTAAAGTTTAGAAATACCTCCCAAGTCATGCAATTTTAGGTTTGCACTTTTGTCCATCTTGGTTGGAATTCTCATCCACCTAGACATGTTTTTTAAATAGACATGGTAGAATGCCTTTCATATTTGTACATCTATAACAAGCTTCAGCTAGTCAATCCACATTTGCTTCTTGGGGAAGCATTTCAATCCAGGTTTGTGTTATTACTATCAGTTGAGCTATATTGAATTAGTGCTTGTGACATTTTAATAATACTTTGTAGATGAGGAAATCCTGGGCATTGAGCTGATGGCTTCCCTACTCCCCTGCACCCTATCCCCACCCAGTTTTGTGAGGTTTGCCCAGAATGTATAGTGTGAGATAAATGTGTGAGTCATATATCATAATGCATCTCTGACAGCTTATCTGGCATATAACTCAGAGTTTGGGTAACTCTTGCATCCTTTCTGGGAGTTACTTGTAGAGCTGTTTACCATTATAAAAATGCTCGAAAGCCCCTTTTTGAAATCGAGAAGTTATGAGACAAATATTGAACCTCTAACATATTGTCTCTCATTTTCAGCTTTTCGGATGATCCCTTATCCCTTGGAAAAGGGACATCTGTTTTATCCTTACCCAATCTGTACAGAAACAGCAGATCGAGAGCTGCTTCCATGTAAGTCTCACTTCTGTATTCCTCTCCTCAGCCAGTGAGGGTGGTGTGCACGAATGTGGGGATGGGAAGAGGTGGGAATGATAAATGTTTACAGTGTTCCTTGTCTTTTATTACTCTTCTCCCAAGCCCTGTCCTTACTGGATAGCATATGCATTAAAATGAGTTATGTGTGTGGGTTTGGCATCCTGCTCCTCCAAGTCCCTCCAGATTCATCAAAGGGAAAGACCTCCAAGGACTTAAATTTAAATGAAGAGCTATCATGTACCAGTTGGCCTGAGCACAGAGACCCCTAGTTCCAGGCTGATGTGAACGGGCTGGTCCACTGTGCGTGGTTCCCCCTTGCGTGGCCCAGCTGTCAAATGCAGTCTGCACAGAGTGGAGTTTGAAGAGGAAGCACTGACTTCAGAGGGTGCTGCACATGAGTCACGGATGAGAGGGCAGTGCCAGGACGCTGGCATCATTGCCAGAGGCAGAGTCGTGGGGCAGGGCGGGTGTGCTGTCTGTGGTGATGCAATGCTCTTGGCCAGAGGGATTTCCCATGAGCAGCTCGTGGATGCACATAGTGGGTTGGCATGACATGTGCAGAGCACACGTGCAGCCTCAGCACTGTATGCAGCAAGAAGAGGGGGAACCCTGCCCTCAAGAACCTTACAAGCTGGCAGTCTCTTGGTCCACACCGCACGTGGGAAGAATGATTTGGTTTACTGTAATACGACATTGTTTTGACAAGTCCTGCTAAATAGCTATTATCAAATCATACTGTATTCGGGGATCCTGTCCAGGCTCTTCGTGTGGCCCTGACTTAGGACATATTTTCCTCCCTCAGATAATAAGCTCCAAATTTTGGCTATTCTCTCTCCCTTGTCCTCTCTCCTACCACCACCTCTCTTTGACCCACCCGAGGTATAGCCTATCTCAGAGCCCAGGGGAGTAGTGTTAAGTTTGGAGCCCTAGGTGCTCCAATAATAAATTGTGCAATGCCAATGTTATTGAGCCTATCATAAATCCCCAACATGGTGGGGTCTGGGTGCAAAACGAATTGCTCTCTTAGACTGAAGCAGCGAGAGGTGGCTCACCTGTTTCCTTGCTGGCCCGAGGCAATGTCATGTTTGTTCCTTATGGAGCCGGGAAAGTTCAGTGATGCGTTGCTCCTTGCCCAAGTTTTATTGTGAAAATGCCTCACACTACATTAGATTCTATTCCAGAAATTTCTGTTATGTGTGCCCACACTTTACCTTTGGACTCTCCTTCAGGGAGACCCTTGTTAAAATTTCCATTTCTAGTAAGAATGGCAGTTTTCTGAAAAGCACAGTTTTAAAATGTTTTCTTTGAATCCAATTAAGTTTCCATGGGACTAGATTCACTATTAGAATGAGATTATAGCTCTTAAAAGAAACTTCATAGGAGTAATCTTTATGAACCTGAAATAGAAAGTTATGACTCTCATTTCTTGAACTGAATGCAGTCGCCCAAAATCTGATCTCCCCTCAAAATCTTTCGGGGGTTGGGTGTTGACAGCAAGGATGGTGTGGATACAAAGAGGGCCAATTGTTTTAAATGCTACCCACGTTTTGCACTTTAAAAGTACCCTTGTTGGACATTAGGCCCCAAGCGTGCTTGTACCTTCTTTCGAATCCCAGCAGGTAGATGGCCCGGATTCAGGTGTGCACACTTCTTTGTGCTCTGTCCCTCCCTGCTGTCTCCACCCTCACTTTCAGGCCAAGCGGGTTATAGTTTAGGGCTGTAAGTAATGAGAGCTGAACAGTCGCAGAAAGGCCTTCAGATCTTGGATTTCCTGAAGAACGTGGAGCACTTGGACCCTCTCGGTTCCAGTGGCAGTACTGCTCACAGGCAGTTTTACAGCCCCCTCAGCCAGGGTGCCTGCAGCTGGGGCCCCTCTCTCTGCACAGGCCAGCCTTATCTCCCCTGGAGGGCACCCCCAGCGCCCAGGCTGCTCACAGCCACACGGTGAGCAGAAAGCAGGGGGTCTGTTCCCTTGGCATTGGCACCACCTGTTCTTTGGTTTTCCCAAACCCAACATTTGAAACTTTGAAGTTATGGAAGGGGGTCTAAAGAGCACCAGTTTGTTTTGTTTTGTTTTGTTTTTGTTTTTTGGTTGTTTGGTTGTTTTTGTTTTTGTTTTGTTTTGGTTTAGGTTTTTTTTTTGGTGATTGTTGGAAGTGTATTTATCATTACGGTTCTCCTACAATTGTGCCGGATGACCCCTGCAGCCTTGATTTCCAACCTTTGCAGATTGAATTGGCCACCATGTGAGGTCCTTGCTGAATGTCTATCAGGGTGGCTCCCTCCACTGACAGACTTAGAGTGTGCCAGGAAAAAATACAAGATAAACTAATATCGCCTCATTATAATGACTAAAATATTACAGGAAGGTCAAAATCTAGAGAGAAGATTTTTTTTTTTCCCAGTAGACTTAGTTTTGGGTTTTCCGGGTTTTGTCCAATGAACATGTATTTTATAATGTGAATAAGGTTTTGTTTTATTTGTGTTTCCTTTTGAGAAAGTAATACTATGTATTAGGCGTAGAGTGTGTTACTGTTCCTGCCCCAAAATATGTAACATCCTCAAATTAGCCCTATCATGCCTCCCAAGTAGAGCGCTCAAGGTTGAACATGGACTTGGGAGAAGCAGATAGGCAAGCCAGAGGCTGGCTCAGATGTTGGCTCTGGTTCATTCAAGTACCCTGCCCTTTTCATTTCCAAGAGGCTTCAGCCACAGTTCTGAAGAGTCAGTCCCACGTACAGAAATTCCCTGAGGATGCATTTCACTATGGCACTCATGTTTCCGTCTGCATTTCTCCACAGCTTTCCATGAAGTCTCAGTTTACCCAAAGAAGGAGCTTCCCTTCTTCATCCTCTTCACTGCTGGATTGTGTTCCTTCACAGCCATGCTGGCCCTCTTGACACATCAGTTCCCGGAACTCATGGGGGTCTTTGCAAAAGCTGTGAGTATTTGCCAAGAGGGGGGCCTGAGGGAAGGGACATGGGAAGCCAAGGGAAGCCAAGGGAAGGAGAAGAGACATGAAGGAGTGTTGTGTAGAAATGGATATACCTGTATTGATTGTTTGCTCACTGTTTAATTTTCATCTTCATCAGTAGAATCAAAAGGTTGAGGGTCAAATGAGAAAAGTGTAGGTTGTTTGTAAATGCATGCCTTGCCTGATTTCACAAAAAAATTACCAGGTTTCAAGAAAAGCATGAAGCCTAAAAGGATTAAATAAATAATTAAGGGAATCCTAGTAAATGAGAAAATGTATGGGAAATTACTCAGTTTTACATAAGTTGAATGACATTATTTCTAATCTTTAGATATTGTGAGTCTTTCGAAACTTCAATAAACATGAGATTTACATTTTCAAAGATGATTTCAATAAATATTTTAATGGGTACAAACTGTTGGCTTGTTGGGGGAATGAGCTGAGAACGTGTGAAGGGTTCGTAATTAAAAAGTATATTAAGAACTTGTATTAAGAAATATACAGATGCGACATTTAGAATATGGAAATCCAGTAAGAGTCTTTAAGTAGGACTGTGGAGAGGAGCTTTAATAATAAGAAAAGCCATCTGCATTGACAATCAAGAGCCATTGTTTCCTTGTTGAAAACCAACCATTTTTTTAACGTTTATTTTTGAGAGAGAGAGAGAGAGAGACAGAGTGCAAGCGGGGGAGGGGCAGAGAGAGAGGGAGACAGAATCCGAAGCAGGCTCCAGGTTCTGAGCTGTCAGCACAGAGCCCGACGCGGGGCTCGAACTCACAAACCGTGAGATCGTGACCTGAGCTGAAGCCGGCTGTTTAACCGGAGCCACCAAGGCTCCCCGAAAACCAACCATTTTAACCTTCACATGCAGTGAGGATAAGTGTAAGGATTTTGCCACAGATGGGTTTCAAACAGAAGGAATAAGGAAAAGAGTATCAATGCTTTTTCCTGGAACTCCATTCTGATTTCAAGGCGAGTGGAGTCAGAAAGGATGATTTCTAACGTGGCTGGGTGATTTAATCCCTTTCCAGATGATTGACATTTTCTGCTCGGCAGAGTTCAGGGACTGGAATTGCAAGAGCATTTTCATGCGTGTTGAAGATGAACTGGAAATTCCACCGGCACCTCAATCTCAACATTTCCAAAACTGAACTCATCACGCTCTTCCCCCACCACCAAAACCACCCCTCCTCCTGTATTCCTGACCTCTGCCATTGCCTCTGCCATCCACCCAGTTACTCAAGCCAGAAGCGCAGGAGCCCTCCCAGGCTCCTCTCTCACTCTCCACACCCTACCTGTCTCACTCCCAGTCTGTCGGATCTAACCTCCAATGCTACTAGGCGTTCAGTAAATGTAATTCATCCCTACTTAGCCCCTTCTCTCCCCATAGCATCTCTCTCAGTTTAGGTCTTGTTATTTCTTGCTTGGACTCCTCTGCCAGAGTCTTAACTGGTCTCCTTGCTTCCAGTTCCATCCCTGCCAGTCCTTCTCTCGTACTGACACAAGAATGATCTTTCTAAAATGCAAGTCTGAGCATGTCACTTCCCTGCTTGAATTTCTCCAAAGGTTTCCCACCAACTTCAGAATAAAGTCCCAGATCTTTAGCAAGGCATGCAAGGTCCTTTACAATCATGCCTTCCTTGCCTCTTCGGCCTCATCTCTCCCACCTCTTGCATAGACACTGCTCTTAGACCATAGTGACTCACCACTCCCAGATGCACAGGCTCTTGTACACCTCAGTGCCTTTGCACGTGCCTTTTGCTCTGCATGGAATGCCCTTCCCCATCACCACCTTGGCTTGTCCACTCTACTAACTCCTCTTCACTCTTTTACACTCAGCTTTCTTTCTAAGTTTCTCCCAAGCTGAGTTAGAGGTCTTTCCTCCGTGATCCCACAGTACTCTATGAATACCTATATTATCACACTTATTGTACTATAATTGTTAAAAACTTGTCCGTCCCCCTTTTAGAATGTGAGCTCCTTGAGAGCAGGACTGTGTCTTCCTCATCTCTGTATCCCCAAAGCTTTGCACAGTGCCTTGCACGTAGTAGGTTTTCAATAAATGATTATTAAATAAATAAATGGTAGTGGTTTCTGCAGAAAGAATCACTGTAAAAATCAGATACAGTTTAGCATTTCTCCTCTTCTTTTGTAATTATAGTCATGGACTCTTAGAGTTGAAAGGGACCTTAAGCTGCCTTCAAGAGTAATGGGATGGAGGTCATTTAGACTCTTCTTGAATGCTCTCAGTGATGGGGAACTTGCCTACTTAACATCAAAGCCCATTTCATTGTTGGATCACTCAGAAGTCTTCTTTATATAAAATATGCCTTCCTCTAATAGCCACCTGTTGTTCCTATCTACCCTCCAAAACTATACTCAACAAGTCTCCTTCTTGCAAATTCTTATGACAGCTAATACATTCGTGGTGACCTCTGACCTCTGACTCTTGGTAAAACATCTCAAATTTCCTTAAGTCTTCTGTATATAACATGATTTTTAAACCCAGAACGCCCCATGTTGGATGTTCCCTAGTTTATGGACCTCCACTATTCATTATTATACTCCCAAGCCAACCTCTGAGTAAAAATAGTTGCCAAAATTCTGAATAGACTAGAGTTTAACTTAGCAAAATTTAAAATAGGAATATATTTACAATAGTAGACAATTATATTTCCTCCTTTTATGTTCCTCTCTTAAACATTTTTTAGAGCATTTTTGTAAAAATATGTCATTGTCCCAGTATTTTTCAGTAAACAAATAGCAGTTGGTGGGATTTTGGATCAGAATAGAGATTTTCACCCTCTCGTGTGAAAAAAATTCACTTGGCCCCACCACCAGAAACTCAGAATATTGAGTGCTAGCACCCAGAAATCTGTGTTTTTAACAAGGATTCCAGCAGGTTCTGAGTGAGGTGTTGAGCACCATACCTGCTTCTAGGAACACTGGTCTCTAGCAAGCTGAACATCTGAGCAGCCACTCACAAGTACGTGGTGCTGTGCCAGTGCCACTGGGGGGAAGCTTTCGAAGGTGACGGATGTTTCGCCCTGGCTGTACCTTGGAATCACCTAGGGAGCTTACAAGTGACTAATGCCTGCCTCCTGACTTCACTGGCCTGGGGTGCAGCATGGGCATCTTAAGTTTTCAGATGCTTCCCAGGCGATTCAGGTGTGCAGCCAGGGCCGAGACCACCATATTGAATGAAATGACTAATGGCCTGAAACTGCATTAACCAGGGAAGGGTCTGGGGGAGTGGAGGATAGTAAATAGAATACAACTGAGTGTCCCTAGAAAAGGCTCTACTGGCTCCAGAATATCAGTGATGTGTTCATTATGGATCATTTAATGTTTCCAAAGCTCTGGTTTTGAGTCTAGATCAGATGATTGAATAAAATATCATTTTGCCTTATGGTCCTCCAATTTTATACTCTACCGAGGTGCAGTAGTTTGGTCAGCTACTCATAATAACCAAATATAGTTTAGATAAATTTGCTTTTAAACCTCTGCCTGGAAGATCACATTCATCTTGCCCTTCCTGAAGGTTTAACAGTTTCCAAAATGTTTAGAGAGACTTTGTGGGGAAGGAAGATGGATGGCCTGAAGGAGACAGGCACCGTCCCTCTCCCCCGACCTTGTCCCCAGAGTCTTCCCCCATGTTTTCACCCTCCTCACTGCTGCAGGCCTCTCATGAAGCCCCCTGCACGTTATCGCAGTCGCCCTATAGGCTTCCCACAACCATTTGCAGCTTGTGAAAATGACTTTCTCAGCCCTCGCCTGAGATAATATCCCTGGGATAATGACTTTTAGTAGATGCAGAGAGATTGCACTGGCACCCCCCAGGCTACATGCAGCTTGGGAACTCTCCAGTGTGTTTATATGTTGATATGCAGCCAGTAAAGAAGCCCACAGCAAAGTGGGAGCCACTGGAAAATAGTAAAACGAACGGCTTCAACTGGCTTTCCCCCCTAATCTAATCTACCTCAATGACTTAAGACTAACTCTTCCTAGAATGTTTGGTTACTAAGATAAGGTTGCTCATATAAATAAGTTATCGTTCCAAACCCAGCCCCTCATAGAATGTGGGAAGGTCAGCATTTTGACCCTGTCTGCTTTGAAGGGCTCTGTCTTTCCTCCTCTGATCTCTCTCCTTCACTGAGACTGAGCCCCCTGACTTCTGACTCTCATCTTCACTTATAGGCCTTGACCTCTTTGAAGTCTGATATTGATTACAGTGAAATGTCAATTGTCTGATTGCATAGGGCACCTGGAACTTATTCAGATAAGCAGAGGCATTTTGAATGTTAACGAAGCATGTTGGGAGCCATGACCTTCTTCTAAATAATGGTGTTTTGGGAAAAGGAGGATCAGGCGATTGAAGTGTCACTCTCTCTTTTTTATTAGTTCAGTTGCCTTTTCTCACCATAAGACACTGATTGAATCACAGTGCGTTTTGGACCATGTATCTCTGCCCTCTGGACAGAAGTTTTGGATGTTGAGATAGACGAGCTGTTCCAGGGGTGCCTGGTGTTGCTCATTCAGACTAAACTTTTCAGGCCATAAATTTCCCGAGTCTGTAAGTGAAACTGCCGTTTCTCCATGCATTGGTTGAGTCTCTGGCCAAAAAGTATTGTCTGATTTTCAAACATGCAAACAAGTATAAATGAACATCCAAAGCAAGGCATGTTCCCCCAAACTTGTTTTTTATACCTCCTGATGAAAGCCACTAACCTTTATCTGGTTACTGAATGAGAGGGCTTATCAGCTTCAGACGCCTCATTACCTTGTATGCTTCTTCCCTGTGGGAGAGGGATGGGGAAGAGGATGCAGGGAGGGGTGCTGAGGAGGGAGGTAGCTTAGTAGTAAAAGGTGCACATCCCTACTTGGGTGCTGCGAGAGAATTAGGATCTTTATGAAAAGGTTCTGGGGATTCTTTTCTCAATTCTCCCAAGAACAGACCGCTCTAGATATGAGGGAGAGCAGTAAATCATCACATATACTGGAGGTGGTAGGACTTCATTTCTCTTGCGGAACCTTATTGAGAAGTGCAGGTGAAGTTCAAGGAGTCAGGGCCCACTGTGTCTTACTGTGCAGTGTGGGAAGAGGGGCAGTTACAGACATCAAACAGGGTGGGAGATTCCCCTCTTGATTTCCAGAGGCCCCACTTTTGTTCTTTTTATGCAAGTCAGGTCAGTGCCCAAAACAAAGCAAACAAACAGGCCTTATTTTGAAGCAACTTTGTAACGACCTCTTCATTTGCTCTGCTACCCAAGCTGAGGCTCCTTGGTGTCCCACATTTAGTGCGTGAAATTGCCCAGAATACAGACCATGAGCGATGCCTTTCATCTAACCACAGTAGCTCATGCTAGTATTCAGTAGTTCCTTACCCACTCCATCACAACTTCAGTGGTTCTAAATCTTTTTTAGGTCAAGTCTTTAGGATATGATAACTTCACCAGCAATATCACTTGTTTGGTGAGCCCCAACTAACAACCCCTGTCAGCATCTCTGGTTTATCCAGACTACGTCAGCACCTGGCTCCTCTTTATGGAACTAGGATTATAGGCAGACGCTGTGTTTTATGGAGCCTTAGTGGTCTCAGATTACAAACAAACAAAATCTCAAAACTAGGGTTTTAATAAACAAACAATCTTCTCATTGCTAGGATTTTACAAACTCTGTCATCAGCAGCTTGGGTAGTAATTACTCATTCCTGGGCCACAGGGAGAGCATCCCACATGGTTCTGTGCATGTAACAAAGGACAGTTTCAGAAGGTTACCAGAAATTGCCATATATCTAAGACCCACTTGATGAAAGAGCCATCCACATTTGCTCAAGTGCTAACATGGCTGCCTATTTCTTAACTCCAAACCCAAGGTGGCATTCAAGGCCCTCCCCAGAGTTCTTCTGGTCACTTTTAAACTCTGCACTATTGAGCTAAGCTGAATTATTTATCCTCTTCTGAGCATACCAGTTACTTTCCCATTTATGTTCCAGCTGCTCATTGAACCTGGAGGGATCACCTGCTTGTATTTCTCTCCTGCCACCCTTGCTCCATCTGCATCTCTGACATCCCAGCCATCCGTTGTGGTCTATTTCAGTTGCTCCATTTTAAGTTTTTCCTGATTCTTTCAATCCGAATGGATTCCCTCCCTTTTCTGAATCCTCTTGATGCTTTTATCTTCCATCTTCCATTCTATGATGGTCTATCTGGTACTATTACTTTGTTGTGTAAAGATCTCTGTGGCCACCTATCCCTCCCCCTTGACCCTAGGCTTTGAGCTCCCTGATAATGGGAGTTTGTTCCCAGACTCCTTTATATTTCATCCAGCACTTCGGTGCCTTACTGAGTAAATACATTTAATTGATGTAAAAGACACAGCATGGGGAAAGATTCCAAATCTTACACTATCTTGAGTTTCCTCACTCTAATGTCACACTTAATGGTCCAGTTATAATGTGTCACAGACCTTCCCAAGTAGTATTCTACTGCTTCTTAAAAACAACTAGAGAAAAGGAAAGATTCTGAGGTCAAGTGAATTTTGGAAACTTGCCTGCCGTACCCCTTATTGAAGACCTGAAGTCATAGAACATATGGCCAGTGGAGGAGCCTGTTTTACTTCATTAAATATACTACTACTTTGACCTCAGAACCATGTTCCCCCTCTGCATGTGTATTTACATACTACCCTTGGTGGTATAGACTGTGCTCTGCTGAGGATAAGGGATTAGGACAAAGAACACCACAGTGTAAGAACCAGGTATTGAACCCTAACGAGATAATACCTTGGTTCTAAACAGATGGAGAGCATGGAAACCACCCAGACACCTCTGTCTCATATGGGGCTCTGTTAGGGGACCTCTTCTGCCAGATGCTGAATGGTTTGAAGAATGAAGCTGATTCTTCACAAGAACATAATCAGAACAAATTTGAGGTTATGTTAAATGAGTCTCAGGCAAGGCACTTGGCTTTCTTAAAAGGCACTGTTAATGAGCATTATTCTCTAAATGAAAAGCAGAAAGGAGTTTAGAAACCAAATGAGAGAGCTCCCAAACATCTCCTCAGACAGCACTTCTTCAACAA